ACAAGAGAAATCTGTTAAAGAACCAGGTATGCCTCCTTCTTACCCCAGGAAGAACTCTGTGTCATTCATCCACTGGTTGATGAAGTGGGCAGTGATGGGCTGTGGGTTGTGTGGGAAGTGCATGTTGTCCAAAGTGTGGATGAGCAGGGCTGGGTTGTAGTACAGAGCAGCAATGGCCACCTGCAGGCACATGGTCCGCAGCTCGCTGGACTTCACCCCCCTCATCAAACGCTCCAGCACTGCCTCCACAAACAGAGGAATGCACTGCAGGTGGGAAACACAGAAGAATCAAGCCGTTGTTACTCCTATCATTCACTTTAGTAGGGCCAGCCCATAGTGGAAACATTTATCCTTTGATTTTGTGTTTGTTTTGCTTAGGTACACACAGCATACATGGTCACTACAGTACCGTACAACAACATCCATCTGTTCATGTGCCATTTTATACAAGCATTCCTCAAAATGCTTGAAAGGATCCCAAATGTCTTATATCACTGATCAGGTGCTCTTTGAAATATGAGGTAAGCTGATTTTGTTGCACCGCCTGAAAACTGAAAACCAGCAATTTCACCGTGTGGGAACCTCTGATCAAGAATAACTGGCATATCGGAGCTTGACCATCTTCACTTTCCAGCAAATCTCAGTCTCTGACTTGAAAAAAAAAAGGGACAGTACTGGTCTGCCTTGTGCTCCTGAGCTTGTTCCCTCTTCACTTGTATTAGACGCTTGCAATGCTGTGCATCCATCTCTGCCACTTGCCTCATCTGCCGTGGCTGTTTATGGTTCTGTGTTTGTTTCACAGCTACTTCACCCTCCTGCGTTTCTAAGGTCATTATGAAAAACTGTTGAAACAGATAGGTAAAAGTAGTAGATAAATACATTTGAACATACAGTAATTGGTGGTGGTTGACTTCATCTGACTCAGCTGTGGGGGTACATCAAACAAAAAAGGTTTAGAAATGTTCCGCTATTGAAACTGGACATCAGCCACTTTGGTGACAGATTACAAGAAGTAAACGTCTGTACTGTATGGGTCTATTTCTGACCTGGTCAATGCCTCTGCCTCTGCACTGCAGGATGATGACCTCCAACAGTTTGGCAGCGTGACACTCTGCATCCTCACCTGCATCTATGGTGAGCACCTACAACAGGTCACAGGTCAAGAAATATTGAGCAGTCAACACTCAGCAGCAAGGCTGGAGAAACTGGATCTTTGTTCAGATTTTAGGTCACTGTGAGCAGCAGCTGACCTTTTTGCACATGCTGTAGATGACCTCTAAGTGCTTCGGGTTGGACAGGAGCATGTCTGTATCCACAGTAATGTAATTGTGCAAAAGAGGCATCATATCTGTAAAAGAAGCATAGACCATCATTAATATGGCTATCATTTATTTCTGGGTTTGTCTACCAACAGCAATATTTACTGTACAGGAACACTACCAAAGGTGAAACACATTATTTGGAACAACAGAAGTAAGAAGTTAGAAGGAAGATTCGGTTTTTTTTTTTTGGTTAGTAGTTAGCTCACTTTCATATAATTCAATCAGTGTCTCATTATGGGATGTACTCCCTCCCCATACTCACAATATTAATCCAGTTCAGAGTGGCTAGCAGTTATGATGCCTGCATCTAGATCCTCTGTCCTTTTATATGGTTGGCACAGTGTCACTTGTCAATCAGACATCTTTCCAACCCCCCCCTTCAAATGAATATGCTGCTCTGTGTCTACCAGATGTGTAGATAGAAAACTGTTTGCTAACATGTTAGCTATATTAACTTTATAAAGTATAGGTGTGAACACAAGGGACATGACATTGTGACTTTACAGTGTGATATATCAATATACTGTATGTCCAAGTGGTGTTCATAGGTTGCTCTGTTGCCAAGCAGAATGACTGAACGCACTTTTAATTCTATCAAGATTATCACTGCCAGATTTTCGTTAAAACAACCAGCTGTTCATTCAGAGTTAATAAGCAACAACTAAAGCTACTAACAAAATGGTATGTATTGTAGCTCAGTTATTTAAGGTCATTTTAAAACAAAAAGCCCTGAGCCAGTTTTACTAAACAGGGCTTGTTATTGTGGGTTATTATATTATGTTATTGTTTTTTTTTTATGGAAACAGAAAACCTTGGAACAAAAAGTGACTAGTCAGAACATTTTGGACTGAGTTTACAAATGCAGAGTAATCACTGATGCAACTATGCAAACCAGTATCTTGGCATCAGCAGAGTGTTTATGAACTGCATCAGACTCAGTGTACTGTCATAACTTTGTGTGAGGTACCTGTGAAATAGTCGAAACAGTCATGCTGGAAGACCTCATACAGGACGCCCAGCAGCTGCCACATCTGGGGGGAGATGGTCTGACAGGTGAGGCCGAATGCCAGTGACAGGATCTCCTCATAGAATTCTGTAGGAGGGCCAATAAAGTGTTGTTAATTTATATTCCACAGACATTCGTGCCACATTCTGTCTGGTTTCACCTGGAGCAAGATATGGTTAAAGGAATAAGAAAGGAAGTAAATAGTGTTGAAGTGGACTATGTTAAAATAATTATTTATATGAAGAAGTGATGTATATTTTGAATTTTTCCATCCAATATGGGGTAAAAATGCAATGGCAGTCCGTCTTTCCCAGTTTCAACATCTGTAATAATCAATGTGTAATGAAACATATGGACATAACTATAAGCTGATGTTGTTTTGTATTCTGACATTAAATAGAGAAACCAAAAATTCAAATGCTTGCTGTCATCTAGGCAAGTCTGTCATTGCCAGAGGTGTCTCTAACCTACACTGTGTCAGCACAAAAGAGGAAAGCAGTTTAAAAGGCACATGCACACGGGTAACAGTTGTACTGAAGCCATAATATCCCTGAGGAAGGTCTTCAGTGTGATTATATTGCCCCCCCCAGCAGTGCTGTGTGTGCATGCGGTATAGATTCCCTGAAGAACAGTTACTGTATCTTGACATCTTTATCTTTCATGGTGCTCATTATGACCGTCTCCTGCTTTATCTGCCTCTGCCTGACCACAGCTCTCCATTCTGGCAGCGTGGCATTATCAGGTAATCCATTCCTCATCACAGAGGGTCCGGTTGCACTATTAAAGTTAGTGTGCTCTAATCCTTTGCCCATCCACTGTTTATCTGTGCATCAGTATCAAGTGGCAAGAAGACTGTAACCTTCCTCAGTCAATTACAACTGATGTCATTCTGATGCCCTCTTCTTCAGCAAGTCTGATTGAACTGGACTGGAAAATTGCATAGGGCCTAACAGCAGTGCATTCAAACACACATTAATTAGCTTTTCTTGTGCAGACTTTTTGGAAAGAGTTCAAATGGAAACCATTTGTTGTTACATTAGAAACATTTTCATGGATTACTGAGAAACACAGTAGGTTGATAACCACATACAGCAAAGTTTTGGCACAACTTTACCCACCCTCAAGGTGCACATACAAGTTAAAAACAAGCTGGAAAGCAAAATGTCCAGCAACACTTGAAGTGTTTTCAGCATGAAGCCTTTGTCATGGGTCCATGACGGAAGGCTTCATGCCGAAACGCATTGGTCTTATTATTAAAGTTACTCAAAATGCTGCAAATGTTGCTGGACTTTTTGCTTTCCACATAAACAAACCACAATGTTTTCATTAATTTCTCACTTTCAAGGGCAGGCATGCTGTGCACATGCTCTTTGACAAGCCTTTACACTACAGAATTTGAAGTACAAGAAATTGATTGACAATTTTGCCCAAATTTGTGGGTTCATCTCTGGCTTCTTCCTGTCCTTCACCTTCCTACCATACATCAGCTTCGGCCTCATGGACCAGTATCGCAAACGCTGCCAGATCATTGTCTTTCTGCTGGTGTTTGTCGGGCTCTTTTCAGGCCTTGTCGTGCTCCTCTATGTCTACCCAATCAAGTGTGAATGGTGTGAGTTGCTCACCTGCATCCCTTTCATGGACAAATTTTGCAAGAAGTATGACCTCAACGCTCAACTTCACTGAAGTGTGGACAGCATGAGCATGACAGGAAGGCATCAGGTCAAAAGATGTGGACGAACAGATGACATCAGCCAATCTGTTTCTCCACTTGACCTCTGTGTGGCTGGGGGACTGTCACCCCCTCTCTGTGAACTAGGACAATATTTTTGTGTTGTGTTTTTTACTCTGTTAGTAGCCACTTATCATAAGTACTTCTTTTAATCATGTCCCTATTCACTGACAGTCAATGTCACTCCTTCACTGTCCAGTGAAACAAAGGTATGGCACTTCTTAACCTCAACAAAGTTCCCAGCTGCTCTTTACACATGAGGCAGGAATTGTACAGAGAGAGGAAATGTTGTTTTTTTACATCCACACTCCAGACATAGGTTTTTTCATTGTTCAGTCAATCTTATGCTCAGCTGGGACAAAAAAAAAAAAAAAAATCTTTGGTGCCTTGTTGATAAATGTACCAACTACTGCTATATTTTTGTTACATTATGCTGAGCACTCAAATGTTTTCTTTTATTTGTTTATTGCTTCTGAAGAAGTGATGGTTGTCTTGAACACTGTAGCGTTTTAGCTACCTTGTTCAGGGTGGTCACGTAAAACCACTGGACTGCCCGCGCACACACACCTGCCATACCTATGATGGGCTTCTGCAAGACCAGGCCGATCACCTGCAAACAGATTCCCTCCAGCTGCTGAGTGATCTGAGAGATGAAAAGAAATTAAATATCAAGGCTCACCTTAAAAATACTGTGGAAACTTTAAGTATTTTTATCTTCTTTGAGGTCAGTGTGTCTGTGTGTGTGAGACCTCCTTGTGGTCCTCCATGACAGTAAGGATTGTGTCGATGGTGCTGAGGATGCCAAGAGCCATGACAGTCTTGTCCTCATTTTCTTCGTACTCCTCACTCTGAAGGACCCTAGTAAAGATCTCCGCCTGCCAGCACACACACATATAGGTTACACACACACTTTAAAACAAATTCACTTTTGTCATACGCGGAACAATGAAAAATGTTGGTTTTGTGTTCCTACCAGATTCTGCGTCATGTCCACAGCAATGGCAGCCACCTCCTGGTTGTACTCGCAGATCATCTTCTGAATGACGTTGGTCAGGTCATCATTCTCCGTCTCTTTCACCACATGTAGAAGTTCCTGCATGACAGGCCGGATATATGGCCTGATGTACAGCTTGGCTACAGCAGTGAGAAAATGACAGTGTTAAAATCTGTGCAAAATAACCCAGAATTATAATTTAAAAGGCAAAAGAATGAAAAAAACCTAACACAGTAACACAAAAATATATGCAAACACAAGGTTTCCCCTACCACTGAAATGCATAGGTGCGGCTCCTAAGCCGAATGAATGTTAAAAGGTGACATATCAGAATGAAACTAAAAACAATAGTGAGTCATATGCTGTGAAAAATAACAGAGGTGACTTGATCTCAAAATTAAACATAAGCCAGCAACACGAATGACCTGTCAATCAACAATCAGCATTTAGACGAACATTTGTGCTATTGGCAGCATCACCAAGCTAATCAAACAGCTGACTGGCTATTTCTCTGTATGTCAACTCAGGATGGTAGTTATAGTCATTGATAGGGTTAGCCTCCACAAAGAATAGTAGACTATAACTTTGCTGGGGAGTAATTCTTGTGAATGGTAAGAACAGAGATATCAGAATGTAGTCTATTTTACAAGTAAAAAAAATGTCACATACTAAATTAGCTATGTTACGTTAGCCAAGGAAGCTAGTTAGTTGATGTTACATAAATGTTTTTTTCCTTTGGAAAAACAAGCACCTAAGCCATCTGAAAACCTAGGAAAAACCCTGAAACATGATTAAAAAGAGACATTTGGCAAAGTTGTTTCACCTTCCAACCTTTGTTTTGCTTTTGTTGGTTTAAAACTCCATAAAATGGCAACTAATTTAAAAACATCTGTATACTGACTGACGGCACATGAATTTAAAAAAATTACTAATAATTTGAATTTTATAATCAACTAGATACTTAATTGTGAGCTTTACCTTCTTATAAGTGCTTAATAAAGAAATACCACTGAAACATTTACTTTGAAATTCATTCAATACTTTCAAAAACTTTAAAATATTAAGTATATTTTATAGAATATTCAAGTGTGTTGGCCTAATTTTCAAAAACTATACCTAGTTTCCTCAAATCAATTTATGGTCACATTTACACTTTATTAGTCTAAATTACTTTGACCTGTTTTTGCACTAAGAATCAAGAATGTGAATAAAATACTGCTCAGATTCCTCCACAGACCTTGTTCCTGGTTGGTGACCAGCGTCTGCAGAGCTATGGCGGCCTCCACCTTGACGGGCATCTCTTTTTCGCCGATCAAATCCTGTTTGACCAACTCGACAGCATTCCTCAGCACCAGCTCATCGTGGAAACGCAGTGGGCTAAAGCAGTGGAGCACCCAGCATGACTGCCAAAGCCCAGCCGAGAACCACAGATTAATACAGCACATGGACATGTTTCATCTTAGTCTAGTGTTCCTAGATCTCTGAAACCACCACCACAAATGCCCACTAGTGCTGCGCTAGGTATGACAGTGTGGATTATAATACTGTACATCTGTGCTACTGAAGGGATTGAAACACTGACTCACATTGACTGAATGGAGCACCCAACAGGACTGTGGGAACAGGGCCAAAGGGAGAGTTTAAGTATAAAGAAACTGTCTTTCCATGAAAGCTTTAGCCACCAAATTAAACACATGTACTGTATGTATTGAAATTGTTCACATAAGGCAGCTGCAGGCTTCACTAAGCAGTGCACCAAGGGCCTGTGGTGGCGCACCCATACTCCAATTCTTAAACAGAAACAGCTCTGTGGTGTCATCTGCTGAAAACCCTGAAACACTACGCAGCTGTTTCTGTTTATGGATCCTGTATATGTATTACATCACAGCTTTATGCCCTTCTTTCTCTATTGTGCACATTTCTAGAGAACATATTTCTGTTCCCATCTAATGGTTTGGATGGTTTATTGGTTCATTATAGTTTAATACCTTTTAAGAGCTAAACAACATTCTTCTAAAAGAAGATTTTAAAAAGTGAAATCTTTCCATCTATTACAGCAGATGAAATGTCAGTCAATGTCCGTGCCACGAAAGCAGCTGAAATGTCTTTTCACCTGTGTCCTCAGAAAGAACTCGTGAGGTATACGAAAAGGAGTTGAACTGTGAACAATGAAAGCCAATGATGTTTCAGTTAAAGTTGAAGCTTTCTTATCTAAAATTCATGTCTCACTTTATTACAGTCTACCATGTTTTTGAGCACAAAATCCATATAATTCTACAATTTTAAGAAGCCAACAAAACAAACTTGCAGCTCTTTATAGAGTGGAAAGATTAAGTAACCTGCAGACAAACTCTATAACATTTTAGCACATTAGATCATCCTTAAAAGTTATTAACCACTAATGAAGGAAAATACAGTAATTAGTTATAGTTATTATATCCAATTCAAAGTTCAGATAAAACAACAGTAAAGACCACAACAACAGCGAAATAAAAAATGATATTTCATTTTGTCATTTTCAAGTCAGGTAAGACTTTATTGATATGGTGCTATAACATAGAAGGGGGGCAGAATATTTATACCCACTGTGCAATACTCAGAGTGCGCACGGTTACTCTGACATACATCACAACACCAGCACAGTGTCCAGTATCAGTATTATCAGTCAGTTTTTGGGGTGTATATACACTACTTGGTCCAGCATACTATATTTTCCAGAGCAGGGGAATGTCTGTTTCTAAGTGACACACTATAAACCAGAAAAAAGAAATTTTAAAAAATGAGCCCTGTAATGGAAGGATGGAGGGTTTACTCACCCTTGCACGCAGGTAACCCATAGGAGAGTTGAGCAAAGGGAAGACATAGTTTTGCAGCATCAGTTCCATTTGTTCCTGATACATCCGCTTCTGTAGGTCGAACACATGTACACAGAGGTGATTTAAACACATGAGGGGCAATAAGAGATTCCATCTGATCTTTTCTACAGAAAAATAAAATTAAAAGTCACACAGAGATGTACCTATGGATGTGTTTACCTTCAGTAAAAGCTCAGCCAGAGATCCAATGCAGTGCAGTGCTCCGTCCTTCCTGCGGGGGTCAGCAGAGTGGTCCATTAGTATCTGGTGGCAGAACTCCATCATCTGAGGAAGAACCTGCCAAGAGGAAAGCATCAAGATTAAACAAAAGGCTGATGCAGAACTGGAAGCTTACTGCACTGTTGTAGCTGAGAGTGTCATTGGGAGCGACACAGCTCAAAAGTGAAATAACTCAATTGTAGTGACAGAAAAAATGGTCCAAAACATAAATAAAAATTCCATCATCATACTGGCAATACTTGCATCATACCCGTTTAACAATGCTACAAAGTTTACTAAAAGATACATTAATTGATATTTGAGTAACACCTGCCCCCATCCCCCCTTGCTTTCCTGGAACTAGATTTTAGAACTACCTCAGGAGGGGTGCTGAAATTTAGTTCCCAGAACATACCCCCAATGGGCGGAGGGCAGTGGAAATACATGTATAACCCAGGACAAGTGTTACACAGTTCACCACATTTTGGTAGGTTCCTATGATTAAAAAACTCTAACTGATGATCCTGACAAATGGGCAGGGCTCTCTGAATCTGTTCTAAACTGGTTCAGGTCATATATTACAGAGCGGAAACTTCATTCCCATTTCACTGTCACTTGATCCATTATTAGCAAAACAAAATGATTAGAGAAGCTTTAAATAAAACACAGCACACTAACTAAAATGCTGCTCCTTACCTCCTTCCTTTTCCGAGCAGCTTTAGACAAAAGGCTCTGAGCAGCTGTGGCTGGGAGGGCATGGTCGTCATAGAGGTCTGAACAGAGACAAACACACTTGCTCACACAAAGAATGGGATAGAACAACAGGGTCAAAAACGTGGCGCACATCCTTCCTCCACTACTAAATACAATGGCAGTGATGCAGGTGAAAGGTCACAACAAAAAAAATACAGCTCAAGAACAAAAGCTGTTTCACTTTCTGTGAGGGTTTCCAGGATGTGACTACAATCATTAAAATGAAAGACAGTGGTGGTTAGGTAATAGCAGTGAAGTTTGGTAACAGGTATGATGTTGGCTGAGACAGAGTGTTCTGGTGAGAAATGTGGGCTGGAAGAACTCGGGTCAGTTTAGAGGGTGTTTGAATACTCACTGAACTTCATGTGAATGTACTCATATGGGTCTTCTTGCCAGAGCTTCTCATCCTCATCTTTGTAACACATCAGAGGGAAGATGACCTCTCGGCATATGGTCTGGAAAAGACAAAGGTCCTCAAAAGCTCAGGAGGAGAATTGCAGTGATTTCAAAACAGCAACCAATAACCAGGAGAGGAATGTAACACACATGAGGGAGCAAAAGGTCACCTTTAGAACTTTTGACTACTATTTAAGCTAAGAAGCAACGGGCACGCATGCACCCAGGAAATGCAAAACACATTCATGCTGATGATTTCACACTATTACACTGTTAACACTCCAAAAAGTAGCATTACTCCAGGACAGGCAGAGAATGCAAATGCAACCAGAATTATTACAAAAATTGCAAGTATTTTGTGAACAGAGTACTTACTTGTCTAGTAATCCCACTCATGCTAATCAATTAGTTCATAAACTGAAAATTAATTGCCAATTGATTTTATAATCAATTATCATTAAGTCATTTGCACCAAAGCATTATACTTGCTGCTGGTCAGATATTGGAAACTGTCACCTTGGTCACTGAGATATTCTTGACTGACAGTCAATTTAAAAAAACAACAAACTGTTAGACAATATTCATTAAATCGAACTGAACCAGATCCAACTTTTGTCCCACATGTGCATGGGTGCATGTACATCCCCCCATTCAAATGAAACAGAAGGGCTGCATTTTGTCACACAGAGTGAAAGTCCGTGTGAATCTAACCTTACTTTATCTCCATTATAATGAGCACTGCTAATGGTGACATGCTTCTCACTGAATCTTTATGGTTCAGTGTATGCGGGTACACAAAATGGCCTTTCTTATTAGATTAGATTAGATTCAACTTTATTGTTATTACAAGTACAAGGCAATGAAATGCAGTTTAGTATCTAACCAGAAGTGTAATAACAGCAGTGAAAAGTGCGCAGTATCTACAGTCAAAACTAATTTACTGATAGATATGTACAATTGATATTTACAGTAAGATATGTAGGGTATGTGCAAATTAACAGATCACTTCAGTGTTACAGGTAACGTAACGGCGTATTGCATGAGTCCCAGGAGGAAAGATGAGAAGGGTGGAGCTGTGTGTAGTGGTATAGAGGAAGGCAGTGGGGGTCAACGGGGGACAGAGTTCAGTAAGGAGACAGCTGTGGGGAAGAAGCTGTTCCTGAGTCTACTGATTTTGATACGGAGGCTCCTGAAGCACCTCCCAGAGGGCAGGAGGTCAAACAGTTTGCGAGCAGGGTGAGAGGAGTCCTTGAGAATTCTATAGAATTAGCCAAAACAACTGCAGGTGTGAGACTTGTCCACACACTCAGTCTACATCAAACTCCTCATTGCCTGTCTTACCTGCATGTGTGGCTTCATCTGTTTCCAGGTCAGGGAGTGTGACAGGCCCTGGTTGAGGTAGTTGAGGCACTGCTGCAGGACACGAGGAGTAACGTAGTGCTTCTGTCTGTGCTGGTCCACCACTTTCAGCAAGACCTGGATAGACAATACAGACAGGGAGAACAGTCAGACCAATACAGTCAGAGCCTGGGTGACAAATTAAAAGAAAACCTAATGCAACATCCTCATATCTCAGCTACACATGCTGACCTGCTGTATGCCCACTGCATATGTCTTCAGGAAAAAGTCTGCAAACTCATAATATTCCTTTGTCACATTTCCAGGACTTCCATACCTGTAATTAAAAATAGAAGCATATGAACAGCTGGCAACCTTGCTCTACAAACTATAAATTTGGTTTCTGGTGATATGAGAGTATCTCTGGACTCACCGCTCAAAGAGTCTGGTGATGGTGCGCAATGCCCACTTCTTACACTTCCACCATGCAAGCTCAGGACGGTCATCCTCATCAACCTCCAATGTCTCCTAACAAACACACAGTTTACAGTCAGCTCTAGGCAGAGGATGGTTCAGGCTGAATATTCTGTCCGAACCTGACTCGAACCCTCAGGTACTGTCAGGTCCCATCAGGTTTGTTTTCGGGTATGGACCTTCTAGCTCTATCAGCTTGTGTAGCAAGTATAAGAACAAAAAAAAAAAAAAAAAACACAGCCAGAGATCATTTAATTTCAGTCAACTTTAACAGTGTTCTTTACAATAACTGATTTATTAATATAGGCTAGTAGTAAGATTTCACTTCTTTTAATAAGATTTCTGTTCAGACTATTTTATAAGCAACTTTATCTACATTTAAAACAGTACAGTGTATATACTCTCACTGGCCACTTTATTAGGTACACCGGTACAATTGTATGCAATTCAGTGCAACACTTCTATCACAACATCTGTGTTTATGAAGCTCAAAGTGTTTGTTTTTGGTGAAATTGTCATAAATGTATAAATTCAATTATATGTTTAATATTGAGGCCATAGTTAAATATTCGGAGGTGATCCTAATATTTTGACCGTCTCATGTACGTAGCTGGGGAGAACAAAAATATAGAAACACCACTAAATATAATGTAGTCCAGTACCAACACCACCTTTAACTATGACCTCAATAATAAACTTAGAATTGAATTTAAGGCAGAAGTGTGGCATTGAATTGCATATAATTGTACCCTAAAAAAAATCTTTCATTCTTCATAATCCATGTGTTGTTCAGTTATATTCAGAGCTCCATTCATGACACTGATATTACACTCCACTGCATTTTGTGGGTTGCAGCACTTTCATGACCAAAAAATGATAATCGTTTTCAGTGGTTTCCACAGGTCAAGGAAACGTACGGATTATTTGTGTGTGTGTCTGTGTATGTGCATGTGCACCTGACGTTAGTTGCATTGTGGGGGACTATGCCTTCTTCCTGGGGACCAAATGCTGATCCCCACCATGTAAATCATTTAAATTTAGGGCGACAACTTGGTTTAAGGTAAGATTAAGATTAAGCTTAAGGTAGGTCTCCAGGAAATTAATGTAAGTCAAAGTAAAGTCCTCACAAGGAATGAAAACATATGTGTTTGTGTGTGCGCATGTCTTACAGCAGGGACATCACGGTCCATTATTGCTCGGAGGATTTCCATCCACTGAGTCATTACTGTGTTGTTGATCAGCTGGAGAGGCAGCGAGTACTGCAGGGCAACAATGAGGTTAACGCTGCTGCCATTGTCATTGTCATCATCACAGTAACACTGACACACAACAAGGGCTCTTTATAGACAGGGAATACTTAAATTGTTGGCTTCATGTCAAGTTTCTGTTAAAGTGATGGCATTTTGTCATTCAGACAGAGGTGTACATTGCAAAACAGCAGTAGCAAAAAAGACTGCTCAAGTTAAATAAGTCAAAATAACATAACTTAATAAAATAACTTAAGAAGTAATTCCCAAATATACATTAAGAGCAGTGTAAAGCGCTCAGGATCCAGACATTGAACTTGCATTTACTACAGCCAGCAATAGCCACAGAAAGTTAGGAAAGAAAAAAAAAACAACACCACAGTGGGTGGTCTGCATCAGGCCAATAACTGATGGTAATATAATGAATTTATTAATGTGATCTGAAGAAGGTGGAATAAGATATTTAATCTGCTTCCAAATTTAGCATTAATGGGTCACTTTTTCTTCAAACTTGTGTTGGAAGCGCTACATAAATGTTAGTAGGTTGGATTTACAGAAGGGTAATAAATTAAAGCAAAAACCTGAATAAATGAGTGAAGAATCGCTTCCACACAGGTGCACTGCCTGGTACAATTAAGGAATTAACATCCAGTCATCCTCCTGACTGGTTTGATTGTGAATGCTTCCACTGATCCAAACAGAGCAGGTTTCTGTGTGCAGCTCTGCTCCAACATGTCTGAATCTGGCATTCACTGTTCTTGGCTTTAATCATGTGTTGACACACATACACAGTAACATGCACACACTCACCTGTACAAGCGCGTAGAAGATCTTGAGGATCTGTTTCTGGATGAGGACAGAGAAGATGGTGGCATCTGCCAGCAATTGGCTGATGAGCTGCTGAATCCTCAGCAGGATGGCTGCCAGCAAGGGCTCCCTTTCATCTGCCTTCCTGTACCTGAAGCACACACACAGGCACACCATGAACTGAGCAACATGTGCTTACTATAGGTCATCTGCAATTGTGTGGACACTGACTTCGTTTGCATGCACTTAAGTAACCAGGTTACGGCAGAGATCGGATAACGCATTTACATGCACAGCAGAAATGAAGTTATCCCCGCCCGGCCCACTGAAAGCGGAAAGACACTGTTCAGGTATGAACGCAATTGGAAAGCAGACGTCATTATACTACTGCATCCTCCCATAACCAAAGATAGACCTGGTCGATCAACCTAATTTTTTGGTCTCTTTAGTGATATTTCACCTGCAAGTCACAACATCAGCTGCCCCATTAGCTGTGAAATTAATAATGGCAAATAGAAGCTGCTGCTGCTCGCCACTGATGTCTGTTTATGCCGGTGACAACTTCCTGTTTTTCTCAAGTAACATGTACACAAACGATCTTGGAGCTTGTGTTCTGCACATGCGCTCTTGCAGAAAGCTGATTAGGGACGTAGAAATGCGTAGAAATGGCAAAGAATCTGCGTTCTCCGGGAGAAATCTACCTGGGAAAATCAGGTTTCTTTAATCCTAATCCCCTGCCCTGATTACGAAAACCAGGTTTCCCGTTTACATGACAGTTAAGAAATCAGCTGATTGTAACCTGGCTACTTATGTGCATGTAAACGCAGTCATCGAGAATCACTGATCATTGACCGTATTCACACAACAATTACATGGAGCCGGTGGGGGAAGATCAGAGTTAAGAGTTACTCTCAGCTTTATGGTTATATCACACGTTTTTCTTCACATCCTTCGAAGTGTTCAGCAAAGCAGATGGGCAAAAAGGTTTTTGATTACTGGATCACAAATACTGTGGCTGCCCTCCTTAAAACCTGAAGGAGGGTGGTATCTCCCCAGGAGGGTGCTCAGAGCGGTGAATTGGAACAGGTTACTCACTCATAGGTTTTGACCAGCTGGTAGAGTGCCAGCAGGCTGCCATAGCAGCTGCCACTGTTCTGCGATTGCAGGTACATGCTGATCTTGTCCACAATGGCAGTCCAGCGGCCTGGGAAGTCGTGCTTTATGATGGCTCGTAGACACATGGTCAGCTGAGCACTACGGACAATACAAAGACATGGAGAGTCACTAACTGCATCAGGCAGGCACACAGGTTATTCATCTAATACCTGTGTATCTGTCAGCTCACTCTGGCCTATGTAACGCCAACATGAGAATGTTTAAGCTGCTGGGCATCTAAATTGAAATCATACATTTTTTATTTTGATTTTAAAGTACAGAAATGATCTACAGGTTGTTCTAAACACAAACAGGGTGATGCATTATAAAAAGTTATATATTTTGTCTAAACAGGGGCATTTATTAGAGATGGAATCCAAACAATTCTGAATGACAGGGGGTGGGGGTGGGTGGATACCGTATAGACTCTGGACAGCGGATGATGGCCTCCACAATGTGGTCTCTAATCTGCTGGCGGTCGTTCTCGTGAATGTTGAAAGGAAAGATGACCTCGCCCAGAGACGGCTCCCTGTCCTGCCAGTACTGACTCACCATGTTCTTCAGGTAGATAGCCGCTACACACACAGTGTCAGATAAACATGTACATCAGCCACAAATTACCGAGCCTTTCTAAAAAATAAAACTATGCAATTGTGAGGCATGGGCAGAGCCAGGGGGTGGCCAGTGGTCCCCCACTTTGAATCAGTAATGCCCCTGGCCAAGAATAAATAAGAAGGGCAGCCAAGGTTAGCTTCAGAAAGCACTATATCCATCTCATTTTTTAAAAATGTTACCACCCTGTCCACAGTTTTCTAGATTTGTCCCTGTTGTGAGGTGTTTTTCAGAATTTGCACCTTTAGTAGGAGCTAGTGCGCTTGGACCTTTTCATTAGAATTGGATGATATTAAGAAAATAAAGAATCACTGATTTGTCCTTTACCTCCTTTAATGAGGTGACACCATTGATTCATGAAAATATGTGGCTTGAAAATCATCTTATCTACTTTAAAACAAAATTAATTTACTCTTAATAAATTAATACACTTTTCAATGGCCAAGTACGGAATGTGTGCAACTAAATCTGAGTAAATTTTAAAACAAAATTAATATTTTACAGGGCTGCAACAACTAACCAGTAAAAATCGATAATAAAAATAGTTGGAAACAAATTTAATTATCGATTAGTTGGGCCTAGTCACGTAGCTGTGTGAGACAGCTGGGTCAGCGACTAGGTGACTACATTGGTGAGGTGTATCAAAATATTTTAAAATTGCAGAATTGGTAGATAGTATTCCGCATGATTACAGCAGAGAAAATCGGCGACCGGTCATCTGAAGTTTAGGACACTTGATTTTACAGTCAATTATATAGTTAGGAACATAACAGTGGCTTGTGTAGGCTGCTAATAATGGGTGCTAAATGCATTTGCGTTACATTCATGTAAACATGAAACACATGTAAACAACCATTTTATTAAACAATAAGCAAAACTAGATTATATAGGTGTGTTCAGGAACATTGATGACACATGCAAGTTAATGGGGATTGTGCAGAGTACATAGGTTAAGAGTAAATGTGTTGAGGATTGTTGAGGCGTACTCAAACTTATGTTTAACTGTCAACAGTAGTAGTCATGTGTGTACTGGCTCTTTACATTAGTGTAGTATGTTTTATGAGTATAAATAATTTTAGGTCAAACATTGTAGTGTTTTTGTTAACACTATAAGAACCTATTGTGCACTTTATAAACATTCTATTCTTGAACAAATCATTTATTTTTCGTTTAATAATGCACCACATAGAAACATTGCAAAAGCACTGTTTAAAAGAATGCATTTGTTTTTATAATGTTGACAACAGATATCTGGATGTTTTTATACATCTGATTAATCGATTAATCATAAAAATAATCAACAAATTAATCAATTCTTAAAACAGTCATTAGTCGCAGCCCTAGTATTTGATAATACTCCACTTTACTGACTGACACAGTAATAAAAAATGAACCCAAGCTTTAAATCTGTCTAAATGTGTCTGCAGTTACCTTATTTAAAGTGATTTCAGGGATTTACATCTTGGTGTAATCCTGTCTTTATTTCTTCAGTTTGTTTACCATGATAAAAAAGCTGAGCTGTGTAAACACCATTCCTTATAAACAGGATCACTAAGAAAAGTCACTGTTAATATTTCTCAGAAAGGTGATGACATAGTACAAATATGTTAGCCACAATTATGTTGGTATTATAACTTCTGAATAGAGATGGAAATGATCAAACTGTATTAATATATAACGAAGAAAAAAAAAGCCCTCAGCACTGAGATGGAGGTAGCAGCAGCACTGGTTTCAGGACTGTTTACTATCTCACCTGCCTGGCGAACAGGAAACTCCACCTGCTCCGACACAATGATCTGAAGCAGGGTCGGAGCAAAGTTGATGATCTTGTAGGACTGAAACACACAGAGCGGACCCAGTAAAACACAATCAAAAGAGAATTCATGGACAGTTTGGACATTTTGTTCAGATTTTAGTAGAGTGATTTTACTAAACCCAAAATCAGGCTTAAATGTAAGATTTTTAATGCACAGAATATAAGTGAATGCATGTTTCACAGTCAGACTGAGCAAAAAAAAAATGAAAGTATGCTTTCTCTTATCTCACAGTTTTCAACACTTCCCAGCAGTATATAACAATAATACCAAATGATGTAATTAACTGAATTAATGTGATTTGGAATTGCATGAGTGTCTACCATTTTCTGCATCCCATAACACTAATAATTACTGTTATTAATCTGTTTACTAATTAATACCAATATTAGGAATTTTTTGATATTACATTTGCAGGAAGTCTTGTCAGTTTTGTTAAAATGGTTTTGTTTTTTGATTACTTGTGGATTTTATTTTATTTTTTAGATTTAAATTAATAAGGGGAATGCAGACTTGGCAAACACAGACAATGCTCGTTTTTACTTGAAAGAATTTTTAAAAAATCATAATTAGTGTTAAATACTGTATTAAGCAAATTTGTCTTGTTATTATGAGAGTGTTGTATTTTATCTTATGTAAAAAGTAAAAACATAACACGATATCTACATTGTATAGCAGCCATCGACCTTTCTGCTCTTTAAAGATCGGCGTCTTCATCGGCCGCTGATAAACTCATATGGATGGACCACTATCGATAATTATTCCCTTATTAATCTGTTTAATTGGACTGTACACATTTGAATAATTTGAGGATCCAACAGCTGAAAACAGATTTTATGTAACTACGTGCTTTGATCATTTAACATTGTCTAACTCCTAATGGTGCACGCAGCCTTGTTATAGCAGCTTCGGGTCTAACGTTACATAATGTCAGCAAAAGCATTCATCGGAATTATAATGCAATAAATAATTCACATTTTATGGTTCAAATATTTAGAGCTATGATTATTTTATTTATATACGGATCATTTCTTACATTATGTGGTTATACAGTGTAACTTAAGAGCAGAGACCAGTGAAGTCGGTGAACTCCAGTGTTGACATGATGGGTACTTGTGGTCCTTATGGTTTACAATGAAGATGTTAATCTGACCCCTGTTGTTATTTTATGCATCTCTCGAAGACAGTGTGGGGAACAGTTCTGTCCAAGTGCTGATCTCAGGCTTGTTATAAACCGGAGCTGAACATTCACCGGTCACCAAAGCACGACCTGCACTTTTCATCAAACACCGGTATAATTTCTTCTCCGCTATGCCTCCAACCCCTTCCCCCTCTCCTCTGAAAAACAAACAAACAAAAACCAACCAGCTAAGTTACTTTAGCTCACCCACCTGATTGAGTTCATTTTCCGCCGCTATCCTCAGATTCGGGTCGATGGTCCCTTTCAGAGCCTGGATTATCCGGTTGGGATCCATATAGGTTCAGTTCCACGGTTTCTTCAGTGTTTTTACGAACACATACATGTAGCTTTAGCTAGCGTTTCTGTCCTAAATTCAGGGAAACGTTTTGATCTGCGAGCACTGTGGCTCCAATGCCGTCAAAAACCCGAGTTACAAATTCAACTTCCGGCTACGGCATTCAAAATAAAAGGCTTATTGGCAGGAGACTGGTTTTAAATGTGTTTTGCATTTAACTTGAAGGCACCATCGCTGTTTCTTTTATGTCAAACTGACTAACTTTAAGAAAACAGTAGCCCTGCCTAGTTTACCGGCAACCCGCTGTCGGTGGACGCAAAGCAGAGTAAACAGGCAATTTACGGGTTTCCGGCTCTTAGTCGTCGCAGTGGTATCCAGCAGATGCTGCTGCCACCTCATGTGCTGGTGGGGTTATCGCACTGGTTCTGGTTCTGGTTCAGC